AGATGGAGGAGTGCTTTTCAGGGACAGAAACTAGTCTATGCCAAAGCACAAAGGAAGGCATAGGATAGCAAGCAGGCCAGATTGGCTGGAGCTCAGAGTACAGGAAAGAAAATGATGGGAGATAAATCTGAAAAAGCAGCCTGAGCCATAATGTGTCTAATGGTAGCCATCTCTAGGGTAAGGACCAGAGAGGGGGGAGGGAGAAGAAGGGAAGAAAAAGGGGAAAAAAGAAATTTACATGATAATTTCATTGTACATTTGAAAGGAATACCAAGTTATGCATAGTAGATTTGCAGTTTCATGTGCAATTATCTTTTTTAATTGTAATATATTATAGAAATGCTTGTTTTATTCCATAAATTAAAAATAAAATAAATTTTTAAGAATTCAGATGTGAAAGACTTTAAATGCCAAGTTGAAGAGTTTTTATTTTATCTCAGAGTGACTATGGAGCCCCTCTAGGGGCTTGATATCTCCTACCATGGAAGCCCTCTGGGAATTTTGATATCTGCAGCTAGAAAGCTATGTGACCTTAGTAAATGCATTTAACTACTTAGGCCCTCAACTTATTCACATACAAAATGAGGTGATGGGTTAGGTGATGTGTGAGGTTACTTGCAAGTCTAAAATTTTATGATTCTCTGAGTTTATACAGCACAGACAAAGCTGAGTGCCCTAGTTATAGACCCTTAAATTTGAAAGGATCTTAGACTAGATTTCATTTGACCTGACCTCTCAACCAATGTAATCCTCTCCTCTGCAAACTCCTGGCAGGTAATCATCTGGTTAACAAACGCTTAAAATGGTAGGGACCATACTCCCTCACAAAGTAGCCCAGTACATTATGGAACAATTCTAATTATTAGAAAGTCCCTTCATAAATTGAGCTTATCTGTCTCCTTTATAACTTCCACACACAGTTTCTAATTATACCATTTAGATTTACAAGGAATATAAGCCACATTCTTTTTCAAATAGATAGACAGATAAATAGGTAGATGATAGCTAGCTAGAGAGATGGATAGATGGATGGATGATAGGTAGATACATACATACATTGAGATATGTAGATTGATAGTTTTATATATATGTATATATATATTATATATACAATGTGGATAGATATAGATCAATATGACAGCAGATATATGATAGATACATACATAGAGATACTTAGATTGATAGTTACATATATCATACATACATATATACATATATATATATATATATATATATACACATACATGATAGATATACATAGAGTGAGAGAACATTTACTAATTGTTTACCATATGTTGGGTCAAGTTCCAAGTTCTTGGGATACAGATAAAAGCAAGCCAGATCCAGACAGTCCCTGCCATCAAGGAACACACATCTATAGGGGTGCTGAAAGGGGATACTGCAGAGACCTGTTAAATAGGTGCCTGGGAAATGGCATGCAGGTAGGTCTGTTTCCCTAAAACGTAAACCCAAAGCCCTCCTTTCACAACTAGGGGACCCAGGGAGCAAAGTCAAAGACTTTGGTGAGAGAGGATGATGCCTGGAGAGTAAGTGACAAAGTGTGAAGAGGGCAGGAAGTAATTTGTCAGGCTTGATTCTTAGAAAGATAAATTCACCTATCAGAACTAGAGATACAGAGGTTGGGTCTAAGGTGTTTCATCTGACAGCTCTTCATTTATATGAAATCAGCCAGCCAGGTCTTTGTTTCTTCACCTGTTCCTCATATGATACCATTTCTAGAACTTTCTCCATCCTAATAACTCCTCCTCTGAAGGTGTTCCAGTTTGTCATTCAGCATCTTAAAATATGATGTCCTAGACTATACTCTAGCTGTGGTACAACTAGGAGAAAATATGGGAAGATTGTCACCTCCCTTGATCTAGACCCAAGATTTCTGTTAATGTAGCCAAATTCACATAATTTTTTTTTTACAACTTTACCACATTGTTGCATTGCTCATATTGAACAAAACTTCTCACTCTTTTTCACATGTTCAGCTAGGTCTCCCCACTCTATACTTGCCCTTTTTTTTAAAAAAAAAAATTATTAACAATTATTTCTTTTCTCTCACGCACCCTGCCCTCAGTTTCAAACAAAACCTTTGTAACAAATATGAACAGTCAAACAAAACAAATTCCCACATTGGCCATGTCCAATAACCTATGTCAGGGGCAGCTAGGTGGTGCAATGAATAGAGCACCAGCCCTGAAGTCAGGATGACCTGAGTTCAAATCCGGCCTCAGACCAAACACTTGACACTTACTAGCTGTGTGAGCCTGGGCAAGTCACTTAACCCCAATTGCCTAAAAAAACCCCTATGTCTCATTTTGTATCTTGAACCCATCACCTATTTGTCAAGAGGTGGGTAGCATTCTTAATCATTAGTTCTCTGGAATCATGGTTGGTCATTGCAGTGATCAGAGTCTTTAAACGGTTTTTGTCTTCACAATGTTATTGTCATTGAATAAATTATTCTCTGCTCATTTCATTCAATATCACTTTATACAAATCATTCCAAGTTTCTCAGAAATTCTCTTTCATATTTTATTATAGTACAACTGTATTTCATTCCATGGGCAGCTAGGTGGTGCAGTGCATACAGCTCTGGGCTGGGAATCAGGAAGACTCATCTTCAAGAGTTCAAATCTGGCCTCATACTTAGTTGTGTGGCACTGGGCAAGCCACTTAACTCAGTTTGCCTCAGTTCCTCATTTGTAAAATGAGTTCCAGAAGGCAATGACAATGGTATCTTCGCCAAGAAAACCCCAAATGGGGTCACAAAGACTCAGACACAACTGAAATGACTGAACAACAGAATTTCTTTACATTCACATGTAATAATTTATTCTTTCTTGCTCCAGCTGAGGGGCACCCCCTCAGTTTCCAGTTATTTTCTGATATGAAAAGAGTTACCATAACTACTTTTATGCAAATGGATCCTTTTTCTCTTTCTTTTACCTCTTTAGGGGTTAGGCCTAATTGTGGTATCACTGGGACAAATGGTCTTTAAAATGTAGGTTCAAGACTTCATAAGACTTTCCTATCCAATCCTTATCTTATTACTTTTGGCCCATCCATCCAGTCTTTCAGGATTCTTTTAAATCTATCAATATATTATCAGTAGTTCCTCCCAGGTTCATGTCATCTATAGATTTAATAAATATGCCTTCTATTTCATTATCAAAGTTATTGATAAAAGATTTAACAAAACAGGGTAAAAAGTAGGACCTGTGACACACCAGTGAGGATTCCCTCAAGACTGATACCATAACAGTTTGTTTTTGTTTTTGGAAGTCAATAGGGGTTAAATGACTTACCCAGGGTCACACAGCTGGTAAGTGACTGAGGTCAGATCTGAACTCAGTCCTCCTGACTTTAGTGCTTTATCCATACTTTACTGCCCCCATAATAGTTTTTTAGTGTCATTGCTGAAGTGTGATCTGCATCTTTGGAGGGAATACCAACAATGATGAGATTTAATCTATTTAATCCATTTGAATATTTGAATAAATATCATTTAAAATGTTTCTATCCAACAGTGCAAGAAAAGAGATTAGGAGGGAAAACAGGAAGATGAAGTATTGTAGTAGGGACAGTGGCCACTAATAGTACATTAATAAACTCCTATTTATAATAACATTATTAACAATAAGATGATGGTGATGGTGATGGTGATGATGATGATGATGATGATGATGATGATGATGATGATGATGATGACAAGAGGCAGTGTGGCAAAATGAATAGAGAGCTGGCTCAATGTCTGGAAGACCTAGGTCCAAATCCCGTCTCTGACACTTACTGTCTGTATGACTCCGGGCATATAGCTTAAACTCTCAATGTTCTAGGCACCTCTGTAGGTTGTCACTACAAATTACAAAGAAGGCACCAGCCTGCATTAGCAGAAGAAATTTAGTTTCCTCACCTGGGAATTCGTTGCACCAAAGAAATCACAGGACCAATCCCTTTCCCTATTAATAACGATAGATGATATTTCTGTAGGGCTTTATAATTTATACATTGCTCTAAATTATGTTAACTCATTTAATCTTCATGGTAATTCTAATATGGAGGGAAAGGAAAGAATTTAATAAGCATCTGCTATGTACTAAACACTGTTTTAAGTACTTTACAAATATTATCTCATTTGATACTCACAAAAACCCTGGGAGGCTACTATTATCCCCATTCTACACTTGAAGAAACTAACAGACTGAGGGTAAGTGATTTGCCCAGGGTCACACAGTTAATAAGTGTCTGAAATCAGATGTGAACTCATGTCTCCCTGCCTCCAAGCCCAGCTCTCTATCCACTGTACCATATAGTTGCCTCCACATGGATTAAGATATTGAGGCCACAGTCACACAGATAACTATATGTCCAATACACAGTTATCTTTAATGGAATACAAGTATCTGTTGATTTTATTTATGAGTAATCTTCAAATTGTAGCATCACTGACTTTTTACTTTCCTGGGATATTTCACTAGATAAAAACAAAATTGGATTTTCATGTTTTGAGATGATTTTAACAGTGAAATCTGTGACATCCTGCTAATGAGAGTTGTTGGGTCTTTGAAACTGCCTTGTCAATGAATCCAGATTTATAAGATTTTTGTAGGAAAGAATGTTGCCCCAAAGACAAGAACTGCAACCCAATATCTTTTTTTTTTTGGCAATTGGGGTTAAGTGACTTGCCCAGGGTCACACAGTTAGTAAGTGTCAAGCATTTGATATGAGACTGGATTTGAACTCGGGTCCTCCTGATTTCCGGGCCGGTGCTCTATCCACTGCACCATCTAGCTGCCCCATCCCAATATCTTTCTTAGCTGAAGTAAGACAAATTGGCCTATCAGTGACTTATTCTCATTTGAAAACCCCTCTACTCATCAGTTATCATTGCCTTTCCAACTGTATTTGAGTTCTGGCTAGATGTGTGCCAATGTACTTTTGTTCTTATAAAGTTAAACACCTATTTGCATCTTTTTTTCTACTTTCAGAATATTTTTCTCAGCACCTTGGAGAATATGAAAATGTCCTGGCAGCCCTAGAAGACCTAAACCTTTCCATCTTAAAGGCGATGGGCAAAACAAAGAAAGTAAGGGAAAATTTTGTTCATCTTCTATTAAATATTTGCTTCCCAAAGTTAATTTTAGTAGTACCTGTCTCAGCATTATCAAAATTATTGTGGTTCTTTTTTTAATTGCAAACATTTTATTAATGGGGATCCCTATTTTTAAAAAACGAATCTATTATCTAAGCATTCAGTACTACTGTAATACTAAGTTTAGGTCTACACCTGGGATTCTTAGCCTTTTTTGTGTAATGGCCCTCTTTGACAGTTTAGTGAAACCTATGAACTTCTCAGAATCATGTTTTTAATGCATAAAATAAAATAACATTACAAAGGAAACCAATTATATTGAAATGTGATTATTAAAGTATTAAAAACCAAGTTCAATGACCAAGATTAAGAATCCCTGGTCTTCATCCTGACAAACACATTTGTAGGAAAATAAACTGGTGCCTTCAGGAGAACCATGTACTATAGTAACACCTGTACTAATCCTATCCTTATTTTCAACTTTGTTTCTAGCTCAAAACATGCATATTGGTGATTTTATCACTGTTGGATATAACTTTTTGACATACTTTTACTTGGTTGCCATATTTTTGCTGGTTGTGATACTGAATTCCCTTTATAGGATGTCTAACTATTATTCTGTCACATCCTTTGGTTTCAGGATTCAACTTGTGCCTTAGAAAAAAATTTCCATGTGATTGCTAGAACATGCATAATAATCCAGGATTGCTTATTAGGCAACATACATTGCCAAAGCATTCTACTGGGAAGCCCTCAATTTTTTGAATGCTGTTCTCAATACTATCAAAGAGAGCTTGGGTCTATCAGAAATTCAGAAGCATTTGGAAAATACCAACTGCTTCTTTATCAAGATATCATAATTTGATATTAGTCATTGAATACATGGGAGAAAAAAAAGAGACTTTCTTAAAAACTTTTGAGTTAGTGCTCAACAATTGGCCATCTTTTTGGGTTGTCTTTCCAAGTTAACATTGCCATCTTAAGTCTGTCATACCTAGGCTTTGAAAGAAACAGAAAACCCATTTCATACTGATGTCACATGAATGGTATTAAATGTACCATATCTGTAACATATTTCAATATATTCACAATAGTATTCATGGGCTGGCAGACTATAGAGGCTACTGTAGACTTAACCCTCAAGTAATCTTCAATTGAGAAATGAATGGAAATAATCCACTATTCAGTTCTTTTCCATTATTCCTTGTTACATTGCCACTGAAGTCAAAGCAGATAGTTATTTCAGTAATAGAGACTATGTAAACGATATTTAAATGAAGTTGTTGAAAAATGCAAAGTATAAGCTCCTCTGAGCTTACTCTTGTTAAACAGTTTCAGAATGAATTGTTTGACCAGTCAACTGTACAGAAAGGACCAGTGGGAAAAGTTGTCATTTAGCAACTACTAGAGATAAATAGAATGATGTATTTAAGAGCTACCTTGCAAATTAATTCCATACTTGCTTCAGAAGAGTCCTACAAATATTATAGAATGAACATTGTCTCCCAGAGGAAAACCAAGAAAGAAAATCAGGCAATTGGGCATATGTTAATGAGTATTTAATTTAACATAAAAATTGATCTTGTCCTAATATTGTGGCTATTAAATAGTGCATGAAATACAAAATCATAAATTAAATGCTGCCTTGACATTTTAAACTCTTTTTTTTTAATTTTTTGGCAGTTGGGGTTAAGTGACTTGTCCAGAGTCACACAGCTAGTAAGTGTCACGTGTTTGGTCTGAGGCTGGATTTGAACTCAGGTCCTCCTGACTTCAGGGCCAGTGCTCTATCCACTGCACCACCTAGCTGCCCCCTGTCTTGCCATTTTTAAAAATAAAAGATCTGGGCCTAAATTTATGCCACCATTTTTAGTAGTCTCCAAACATCCTGAGATGCCATTTTTCTTCTCCCCCTACTTTGTCCCCTTTCTGTCTTTTCATTCCTCTCTTACTTCAGTCCACTCTCAGGTCCACCTGTGGGGTAGGATATGGGAGTAGTGGTTGGTGACTAGGAGGTAAGAGGTTGGTTAAAGCATTTTATTCAACCCCCATCCCCACTTTAGTGTAATAATTCCAGGAGAAAGAGTATATTGGTCTCTGTGAAAAGGGAAAGACAATAAATAGTAACAGCATAAATTGTGAGCCAAATAGCATAATAGTTCCTGATACCTCCATATTTAAGTCAACATTTACAGTGCAAATCTTCTCCAATTTTTCCCTTTCCTTCACCATCTATTCTTATTTAAGATACTTCTATATAGAAAGTTTGCAAGAAAATGGCATTTTCTGATTGGATAATGCGAAACCTATTATTTGATGACAGTGGTGGTAGCAATAGAAGAAGTGGGAATAACAACAGCTCTCGTTCTAAAATATTTGCAGGATTCTATGAAGACTTTGTCAACTTCTTCCCTAGGATAAATTCCTCCTACAATAAATTCCTCTGAATTTGAGGATGAGGATTGCCTTTTGGAATCTACCACAGCATCAATAAAAGAATGGGAAATCCCTTTTCCGTGAGAGGCAGCTGGAGAGCTGGACTAGGACTTAGCAAGATGTAGACTTGACTCCTGCCTCTGATATTTACTAGCTGTGTGACCATGGGCAAGTCATCCAAATCATCAAAGCCTCAGTGTATTCATCTTTAAAGCTGGGATAAAAAGTAACTCTGCTACCAACCCCACAGCATTGTAGTGAGACTCAAATATGATAATGAGTTCAAAGCATTTTTAAAATGTCAATTATTCTCGTCAAGAGCTACCCCATTCACTAAAGAAATCAATTATAGGATATAAATTAATGCAAGGAAATTTAATTTTTTTAAAGAGAAAATGTCATATGTGTGACTTAACTTTAAAATTAGTAACAGGAATCATGTAACTTGATTCAATAAATAATTGGTGTTAACCTCATGTTATGGTAGGCAAAAGGAGAAAAGGTTGAGAGAAGGGGGAGAAAAAAGGTGGAGAGATGCAGAGAGGGGTAGAGGTGGAGGAAGGCTGGAGGGGAGGAGGAGAGAAAGCAGGAGGAGAGAAGAACAGTAGAGGAAATTGGAAAGAAAGAAAAGGGAAGGGAAGGGAAAAGGGAAGGGAAGGGGAGTACCTATGTAGATGGAAAAGATGAAAAAAGACAAAGGAATTAGGAAGAGGGAAAAGTAGGCCAAGAGATAGAAACTGAAACTTAGTAAATTCTGAAGTGCAAACTTAAGTAAATTATTCATCCTATCCTGTAACTCATTTGACCTATTCTAGGCCTGTGCTACCATGAATGAAGGGAGGAGGGAGAATATTGAGTTCAGGGAATGTCAAGTAGTCAGTCCAATTTGACTGATACATGGAGTCTGTGCAGGAGAGAAGTATAAACTAGAAAAGGAAGAGAGAACCGAGTGGGATGGGCTGCACTGCCCTCCTTTATATGGGAAAGTAAAAACACATAATCTGCTTACAAAAAAAAAAAGTCCCCCAAATCAAGTAGTATTCTTTATGAGATACTGTCATGGAACACTGCAAAATTCAAATTTAGATAATCCTATCAGTTGTTTTATTCTCTTATGAAGTCTTTTTTTTATTTGCAATGATCATGACCAGTACAGAGTCAAGCAATCAATCATTCAATCAATAAGCATTTAGGAAGTACCTATTAAGTTCCAGGCATTCTGCCAGGTGCTAGGAATTCAAACCGAAAATGGAATAGTCTCTGCCCTCACAGAGATTACATTCTATCATGGGAATAAAGCTTCTATGTCTGTGTATATACATTAAATACACTCATGTATACACACATATATACATGCATGTATGTATGTGTGTATGTATATACACAAATATTAGCATAAACTTTATACATATATAAGCAAATAAAAGCTTATGGCTTTGCATGCTTATAGCATAAGTATAGTGTGCATACTGCCAAAGCTTAGCATAAACATATATATGTATATGCTTACGTACAAGCATCTACAAAATAAATATAAGGTCATTTGGAGGAAGGGCACTAGCAGCTGAGATCAGAAAAGGCTCTATTTAGATTATTAAAAAAGATAATGGGGGCAGCTAGGTGGCACAGTGCATAGAGCACCAGCCCTGGAGTCAGGAGGACCTGAGTTCAAATCCAACCTCGGACACATAACACTCACTAGCTGCGCGAACCTGGGCAAGTTACTTAACCCCATTGTCTAGCAAAAAAAAAAAAAAAAGATAATGGTCCACGTGTCTTTACTGATCCTTAATATCATAATGTCACTGTTTTTAATGATCATAAAATAGATATGGAAGGGCCCTTAGAGGCCATATAGTCCTACTGTTTTTTACAGGGAATGAAACTGAGGCTTGGAGAGGAGAAACAACTTCTCTGAGGCCATACCAATAGGAAGTAGCAGGAATAGTCATTGAACCCAGGTCTTCTGACCCCAAATCTTGTGATTTTCCCACTGTACCACAATACCTTGAATGGTATGCTCCTGCTCAAATAAAGGACAAAAGTAAAATAAGGGCCCTATTTTGCCACAACTAAAATAAAGATACTATAAAAATCTTTCAAAACACTATAGATTTGATGTCATTTTCATGCTGGAAGAATGATGTCTCTTTTCTAAGAAAGGAGTTCAACATTTCTTTTTGAGAATATATCTCTGTGTGGACATGTTAAGTATATGAATGTTTGTATACACACATATGTATATACATAAAAATAACCATGATAGACCTTTTCTTACTAAGAAGAACTGACAGTATTTGTACTTTGAAAAAATGAAATAAAAAGCAACCTACATTCTCTCTCAGATGGTTATTCACCTGTTCACTTTGTCAGAAATAAGTGAAAATGGGTTTTATCTATTTGCCTTAAACTCTACAAGACTGCCAAGGTCAGACATATTCGTTTATAATTATGTCCTTCTCTTTTTCCTCCTCCTGTGTTCCGGCCTTTTACTGTGTCTTCAAAAGCTAAAAGTTCATCTTTCAGCTTCCGAAGAGAAAAAAAAAAAAGAAAGAAAT